TTATGAATCTATTCCTAACTGCACTTGTGGAGGTTTGAAAACCGTGGTCCAAAATCAGCAAAGAGATTGGGTAATGAAATTTTTGATGGGTCTCAATGACTCTTACAAAGGGATAAAGGCACAAGTCCTGTTAATCAAGCCATTCCCCAGCCTAAATGAAATCTACTCAATCGTCCAGCAAGAAGAGAAGAAAATAGAAATATCCACAAATTGTTCAAGCAATGAGTCTATGGCGTTGTTAAGCAAAGGGAACTCTAATAAACAATCTGGTGGATCAAAAAAAAGGGAGAGATACTACTGCACCTATTGTAAAATTCCAGGGCACTCTTTGGAGAGATGCTTTAAAGCAAACCCAGATAGACCCATGTGCTCTTACTGTCAAATGCCAGGCCACACGGCCAAAAAGTGCTTCAAACTAAACGGTTATCCAGTAAACCACAAGTCAAGTGGGAAGGCCAGACCTATGGTGAATCACGTGACTACAGCTCTAACTTCTGATCAAGAGAATGTAAAGGACAAACCTCATATGCTATTAACTCAAGAGAGGTACTCACAACTTTTGGCACTCTTAAAACCTACCGCCAGCAATCAAAATAATGTTCAAAACATGCTTTCATCATCCTCTGCTGGTCATAAAATTTCTAGTATATGTTCTTTGACTGCCTTTACTTCTAAACCTCATAAAATTTGTGACATTCCATGGATTTTAGATACAAGGGCAACAGATCATATAATCTGTTCTAAAACTCTATTTCACTCTATTCAAGCTGCTGTCTCATCCTGAATAGCTCTACCATATGGGGAAGTAGTACCTGTTACTCACATAGGAACAAGAAAAGTCACAAAATCACTCACACTCAGTGATATTCTCTGTGTTCATCATTTTTCTTTCAACTTGATTTAAACCAAGAAACTATCTCAACAACTAAATTGTTGTCTTATTTTCGTCTTTGATTGTTGTTACATTCAGGACCTCTTGAGATGGACAACGATTGGAATGGGTAAGGTGAAGCAAAGACTCTACCAAGTGCTACAAAAGGAGGTCTCCCCTTCAGCCCTATTTGATGCCTTACTCAAATACAACCTAAAAGCTAGCTTTCTTACTTCTGTCAACAATGTAAAGACTTTTGACCTATGGCACTATAGGCTGGGTCATTCTTCTTATCCTCAATTTCATTTGAATGCTAATGATTACATTCCTAAATCACTCAATGATCAACCTTGTCTAATATGTCCATTAGCAAAGCAACACAGGTTGCCTATTACTATCAACCAGCATAGAACCAAAGCTTGTTTTGAGTTAATATGCTGTGACATTTGGAGTCCTTGTAATGAAGTTAGTCATGATGGTTCTAAATATTTTTTAACTATTGTAGACGAGTTCAGAGATGCATTTGGATTTACATGTTAAAACTAAAATCAGAAGCAACCTCTAATTTACAGCACTTTTGCACTATGGTGGAAATCTATTTGAAACAAAGGTAAAAGTCATTCGAAGTGATAATGGAGGGGAGTTTAACATGAAAGATTTTTACCTACAAAATGGGATTATGCATCAAACAACATGTGTGGAAACACCACAACAAAATGCAACTGTGGAGAGAAAACATCAGCACATTTTGAACGTTGTAAGAGCATTAAGGTTTCAAAGTGGTATTCCTTTAAAATATTGTAATCATTGTGTCCTAACAGCTGTTTATTTGATAAATAGAACTCCAACTCCTTCATTAAATCACAAAAAGTCATATTGAAATTCTTTTCAAAACCAAACCAAATAACAATCATCTCAAAGTTTTTGGATGTTTGTCTTTTGCCACTACTCTTGTGCAAGGTAGGCATATATTTGATCCTAGGGCCAAAAAGTGTACATTCATTGGATACCCTTTCGGCACCAAAGGATATAAGCTACTGGATTTAGACAATGAAAAATTTTTCTCTCTCGAAATGTAATTTTTCATGAAATTGTTTTTCCATTCAAAATTGAAAAGGGGAATTATCATGACTCTTTACCAAGCCTAATGAACTCGGTTATACTCAAAATCCTATCATATCAGATACCAATCTCCCCATCCTTCACAATCCCAACATCACTAATCACTCAAATCCCCATATAACAGACATAGCCACTCCTGAACTACCCAGTTTGCCAACAAATGAAGTAGACGAACCTGATGACACTTCTATAGATCAATCAAAATCTGAACAAATCACTCATAGACACTTACCTTGTAGGTCAAATAGAATAAAAAGGGCTCCAGCACACCTCCAAGACTTCATATGTCAGCAAACCACTTCACTTCCCCCATCTCAGTTGTTGAACAATTAAGAGGTACCAACTCGATCAGGTAATCCCTTTCCTCTTAATGCTAGCATAACTTATGAAAATCTGTCTACACCATATAAAGCATTTGTGACTTCAATAACTTCATATACCGAGCCCAAAACCTATCTAGAAGCTAGTACATCTCTTGAATGGAGAACTGCCTTGAAGATTGAGATTATTGCCCTTCAGCTTAATGACACTTGGGTGATTGTTGACCTGCCTCTTGGTAAAGAAACAATAGGCTGCAAGTGGGTGTATAAAATTAAATTTAATGCTGATGGGAGTATAGAAAGGCATAAAGCGAGACTTGTAGCAAAGTAATACACACAGCAAGAAAGGTTAGATTATCACGAGACTTTTTCACTTGTGGCAAAAATGGCGACAGTTAGAACTTTGTTAGCAATTGCAGCAGTAGAAGGGTGTTTTCTACATCAATTTGATGTTAATAATACATTTTTGCATGGAGATTTAGAAGAGGAAGTCTACATGGACTTGCCCCCTGGATATCCTAGTAAAGGGAGAATGAAATTGTGCAAACTTAGGAAAAGTCTTTATGGACTTAAGCAAGCCTCTCGCCAATGGTGTTCAAAACTTTCGAATTTCATCATTCAACAGGGGTATTTGCAATCCAAAGCTGATTATAGTTTGTTTACAAAAGGAAATGACACTTCTTTTACAACCATCTTAGCATATGTGGACGATATAATAGTTGCTGGGAATTGCATAGAGACAATCAATCAATTGAAGTGTTGTCTTGATAACCAATTCAAAATCAAAGATCTTGGAAAATTGAAATACTTTCTTGGTATTGAAGTTGCCGGATCAACAAAAGGGATTTACTTATGTCAAAGGAAATATGCTTTGGACATCCTTGGAGATTCAGGTACTATTGGCTCAACTCCTGCCAAAATTCCTCTAGATCAAAATTTGAAATTGTCTAAGGAAGAGGGAGATCTTCTACTTGAACCAGCTCTCTATAGAAGATTGATTGGAAGGCTATCATATCTTACCATCACAAGGCCTGATATAGCATATTCAATACAATTACTAAGTCAGTTTATGGATAATCCTAGACTACCACACTTGAATGCAACACACAAAATTTTGTGGTACTTAAAGAGACCACCAGGGCAAGGATTATTCTACCCAGCAAACTCTGAAATCCAGCTTAAAGGTTACAATGACTCGAATTGGGGTGCCTGTCCAGACAATAGAAGGTCAGTGACAGGATATTGTGTGTTTATGGGGAATTTTTTAGTGTCGCAAGGTCCTCTAAAGCAGAGTACAGGGCAATAGCCAATGTATGTTGTGAATTAACTTGGCTTAGATACTTGTTTTAGGACTTGCAAATTTCTAATCCACAAAGTGCAATATTGTACTGTGATAACAAATCGGCTATACATATCATTACAAATCTAGTTTTCTACGAGAGAACAAAGCACATAAAGATAGATTGCCACTTGATTTGAGATAAAGTTCAAGAGGGGAGCATTTCAACCGAACATGTAACCAGCAAATCCCAAGTGGCAGACATTCTTACCAAGAGTTTAGGCTCTTAGAACTTCTACTCATATATGTTCAAGATGGGAGTAGTAGTTATCTACTCTCCATCTTGCGGGGGGCTATTGAGGAACAAAAGAGAAGCTGCTTAGTTGGACAAAGGATTAGCTGAACTGGACTGCAAGGAATTAGAAAATAGTACACATCGGCATGCCTGCGAGGAGCTGTCAGATCAACAAGTTGGGAATTATCTAGAAGAGAGGCGGCTAAGCATTCTAGAAGAAGGATAGAAGAAAAGTTTGTTATGAAATTGTTACCTGAGAGTGCATTTCACGTGCATTTGTATAGTGTATATTTTTTTCAGATTCTTTTTTTTTATTATTCCTTCTTTTGTAGTATAAATACTCAAGCTATGTAATCATTTCAGCAAGGTGAAAGAAAGAAAATAATGAATACACAGTAATCTTCCACACTTTCTACATTCAAAACTCTTTCTCTATGAATTTAAACTGTTACATATTCAAAAACTAACAGCATTAGTGTTATTCGACATGTTCAATATAGAAAAAGATTAAACCATTCTCCAACTCATTAGAAATTTATGCGCATTTCAAAGAAACAAGTCAATTGGAAAAAAAAAAGGAAATTCAAGCATGAGACCATGATTACTCAAGACCGAGCTTTTGTTGTGACATGAGAACAGGTGACGTTAAGTTCAGCTTGTCGCCACGAGGAATTAAATGCAAAAGCTACAATTAATGACACAGACAACATGATAGTCAGGTACTTGTCTATTTTAAATTTACAAATACTACACAAAGAAGAAACACAAAAAACAACCAGAAATCTACTCCAAAACAAGTCCCTTCTCCAAGTTAAGTTTGTACCCGGAACTTAAGCTGGTGAAGACATACTCAGCGCATTAAACCTTATTTTTCTTTAGGCCAAGAAGAAATTTCGCCCCAAGTTTGGGTTTTAACAAGTCCCTTAAATATCTTCCAGAAGATCTTAAATAATTCTAAACAATTACTCCATGAAATACATGCAAAACTGTCTCTTAACGATGAACTCGTCATTCTGCTCAGTTGCATATCACGTGTATAATCTAATCCAACCATGTATTTAAAAAAAAATAAAAATGTCAGTAGTTATATTCTCAAGCTAAATTCTGTTGGGCTACTTTGAAACAATATATATTAAATGTAAATAGTATTTCAATATCAAATCTCAAACTAGTCTATTTCTCTAAATAGTACAAAAATTCAGCCTTTACAAACCCTCCAATCTAAACCAAATCTACGAAAATCTCTTCTTTTTTTAACATTAAGTTCCTCTCACACCTACAAATAAAATTATAAAAAATTGAAACCTGAAACATTTCAAGCTACGGCTACGGGCTGCTGCTTCTCGGGCTCAATTTTTCTCTTGGACTCCTGAAAGTCCTCGATGTTGTAGATAACCGTAATATACAAAGAGCAGCTAGGGCACCGAGCAACTTCCTCGCCGATCCGCAAATCCTCTTTAGTTATCTGGAAAAGATCGCCGCAAGGACACGGGTATGTAAAAGCTTGCAATTCCTCGTTCCACTCCATGTCCTCGATCTCCACGTCGTCGTTCGGAGTACTTCTAGGGTTTTCTCCCTTCCATTTTTTCTTTTTCTCGCAGTCTGTATTGCCCACTAGGGTTTTGCCTGATGAGAAATTAGGCCAAATTACAAACCTATTTGACGGAGGAATATCTTTTAATTATTAAGACATCGTTCGACTTGACTTGGGAGAAATAAAGTCCCCGTTTGAGCCCCATTACTTCTAATTACATAAAATTAAAATTTTCTCTCTCCTACTTTAATCACACAATTTTCAATAAAATAATATTATACATAAATTAAAAAAATTTTAACTACTCATTTTTAAAAAAAATACTATTCATTTCATTATAATTTACAAATAATGAGGCTCAAACGGGGCCAAAGAATTTTTGAAATTCAAAAATTATTTTTATATTTGTTTAGCTTATTAATATTAAAGTTCTTCTTTTAATTAGTAGAGTTTTTAGAGAAAATTTGTTATATGTAGTTTTCTTTAAAAACATTTCCGGATTAGGAAGTTCTTTTTCAAATTAGTTATGCCTTCTCAAAAAACTATTCTTAAAAATAAAAGTAAAAACAATAGTTCAATCAAACGAATTCTAAAATGGCCTTCTTTGCTTAAATATAAAGCTTTTGCTTTTATTTATGGAAAAATTGTAGTAACGGTTTCTAATCTTTTCGTTTTTTGCAAATTTTATTTTAACATTTATTTTGTGTCAACGAAGTTCTCTAACTTTTCATAAATATGCACTTGAAGTCCATCTGAATGGAAAAATTAAAGACCTTCTCTGACACAAAATGAAGGTTAGAATAAAATCTGTAAAAAAATGAAAAGATGAGGGACTTCTGCTACAATTTTCCCTTTATTTATTTATACTCCCTAAAAAACTCCTATATCCATATTTTTATATTTTATTAATTCTATAATATTGAAATACATTCATAAAAGGAAAAAAAAGTTACTAATATAATTTCAAACCTTGTAAGAGATTCGTATAGGAAAAAAATTCAGAAGTTCATTCTGAATTTGATTTGATGATAGTAGTAGGTGGAGTTGCAGGCTTCAGATCTTCAATCGTCGATGTGAGCTGTAAGAGTCCAAGTGCTTATAAAAAAGGTTAAACCCTAACCTTAAGGGTCCCCCACTACCCCTGTCCTGGAGTATCGTGAGGGAGGTAAATCGCAGGTTATGCCTCCAAGGGTACAGGGTGAAAGGCTGCTTGTACACTTGTACTTACCCAAGAGCCAAATTCATATTTCAAGATTCGAACCCTTGACGCAGCAGCCTCAAGTAAAGTTGGATTTCTCCACCCTCCCCTTTTACCACTTGGAGATGTGCCCTCGGGGCGAGTCCAAGTGCTTATAAGATAGCTTGCGTGGTGGCCCATGGATTGCTTTGCAAGTTGGCTCATGAGGCCTACTGTGAGCTTGAGCTTGGTGAAATCCAAACCCAAGCTGT